ACTGCTTCTCGCGCCCGATCGGGCGGACATTGCCCGGTCTGACCGGGCGAAGAAGAATTTTGCAAAATCCCCTGTTTTTCACTCATTCCCTCAATATCTATCGTTGATGGTTCCCTTACGGGAAGGTCTTCCAACTGTTTTCCACTCCTTAAAATTACAGCATTCATGTGCCCCTTTTGTGGTTGCTCTGTTTGGCCAGGAAACGTACCTGGTGTTTTTGAAGATTGGCCGACTTGATGAGCAAGTTGGCTTATTTGATTTTCCATGAGCTTATTCTGGGCTTGTAACTGTTGGATGGAATTATTTGTGGTGTTGATGAAGTTCTCCATCATTAGTTCGAGATTGGATTTTTGAGGGAGTGGTTGCATAGGTTGCATGGGTTGTTGTACTAGGGGTGGTCTTGGTTGAAAACCAGGTGGATTATAATTGTTGTTTCGAGGTGGGGGCGGAGGTGGATTTTGCTGAGCCTGGGTGTTTTTGTATGAGAAATTTGGGTGATTCTTCCAACCTTCATTATAAGTATTAGAATGGGGATCGTATGGTCTTTTAGGGTTGGAATTGTAGAAGGCATTGGCTTCCTCAATTGATACCTCATTCGAATTTCGTGGGCAATTAGGTGCGATGTGACCTTGAGTATTACACATTTGACAAGTTTCTAGCACATTATTAGAAGATCCAGTTTGTAATCTATCGAACTTGCTTGAAAGTGCCTGCACAGAACTAGTTAAAAGAGTTAGAGCATCAACATCTAATTTACCTCCTTTCTTGACACTATTTCGGCCGCCTGGGTGATAGTTGTCATTGGCTGACATCTTCTCAACCAGCTCCTTTGCTTCGGTTGGATTTTTAGTTAAAAGGGAGCCTCCAGATGCGGCGTCGATATAGATCCGGAATTCATGGGTTAGACCGTTATAAAAGGTTTGGATTAACATCCATTCAGGTATGCCATGATGAGGGCACTGTCTCTGTAATCTCTTGAATCTCCTCCATGCGTCATATAAGGATTCTTCATCTGATTGCCTGAAAGTGGATAGCTCGTTCCTTAATCTTGCAGTCTTTTCTTGTCCCAAGAACTTGACCAGAAAAGCTTTTACTAGTTTATCCCATGTATCAAAGGAACCAGAACCCTCATCTCTTAACCATTCCTTCGTCCTATCCCGTAATGAGAATGGAAAAAGGCGAAGTCTAAGAGCATCATCTGTAACACCATTCAGCTTCATAGTGTCACACTTTTCCAAGAAACCATCTATATGATTCACTGGGCAATCAAGAGGTGTGCCAGCAAATGAATCATTGGATATGAATTGAATAAACTGCGGTTTCAATTCAAAATTCTGAGCGGTGATAGGTGGTCTAACAATGCTAGAAAGGAGTCCGGTTGTTGTGTCAGGGATACCGTACTCCAAAAGAGACTTTGTTGCTTGGTCTTCCATATTTCTGTTACCTGCTCTTCTTCTACTTCTTCGTCTTCTTGCAGTCGCTTCAATTTCTGAATCGAGAGGCACTAAGTCGTCTGACCCTGAGCGACGTGTTTGCATACAACAAAGAACTAGGCAAAGAACATCAAAAACACAGGAGGCAATAGCCGAAGCAACAAACAACGCTTAGTAAAAACGAATCACGGAAAATCAATATGAAACCGTTAGTCCCCGGCAACGGCGCCAAAATTTGATAGGCTTATCGCGTACCTAACAAAAATAACCTAACTATTCCTTCTAACTGTGTAGTAGGGCAAGTAAGGATCGAATCCCAAGAGACTATGGTTCATTCAATTAATCAGACTCAATTAATCACTAAGCACGTCACCAATCAATAATGGATGATAATAATCAACTAATATATTAAATAACACAATTAACTAGAGGAAATATTAATCAATAAACTAAAGCATCCAAGATCAAGCATTACCACGATTATGATTGATAAACTAATAAATCTACCCCCAATATATAAATCAATTGACAAGAAGAAAAGCAATCCCTAATAATAATACCAAAGGTCTCTTCCAAGTTATCAATGGCTTCCCAAATTAACTATCAAGCCTACTTCCGTGGAATCAAGCGAATAAGGGACATTAAACACCATGCCTAGATTCCTAATTATTCAATCATCTACTTCCGTGATGATCTTCAAACCCTTAATTGGAATAACCTAATCCCGTTAATACCCAACTTCCGTTGCAATAAGAACAAAGGGATGATAACAATACTAATTATTCCTAATCTAGTATTGGCATAAACACAATCAATTAAGCATGTCAATTGGGATTATTATTGGGGAATTTAAAGATCTACTTTATACATCAATCATAATCGAGCTTAGCAAGATCCCGGATTAAGGAAACTACTCACACATCATAATAAAATCAAAATCAAGTTCAAAAACAAGAAACAGTAAAGAAAACATATTTAGAGAACAGTGAATATCAGAAAAGAGTGAAGTAAGATAAATACCAATTACTCCAATTGAAAGAACTCAAATTGTTGATGAACAATTGATTAATCTGGGATTAAAAGATTGAAATTGCTTAAAGGAAATAAAACTAGGGTTCTTGAGAGTTTTCTAGGGCTTAAGGAGAAAAACTAATGAAAAACTCCCTTTAAAAGTTAATTACAAAAGGGTATTTATACCCCCAAAAGATAGAAATTCGGAAATAGCTGAAATCGCGCAATCTCGAACATCGCCCGGTCAGACCGGGCAGATCTCGCCCGATCGGGCGGAGGAAGGCTGCGTAAAATACGACAGTTTTCCTTCTTTGCCCGGTCAGACCGGGCGAACCTCGCCCGGTCGGGCGCGCGTAACACGTTTCCAGAATTGCATCTTCATAACTTGACTTCTTCATCGCCCGGTCTGACCGGGCGAAGCCTGCCCGATCGGGCGCGCGTTGCACCGTTCAGAATTGGGCTTCTTCCTGTGAACTCTTCATTGCCCGGTCTGCCGGGCAAGCCATGCCCGGTCGGGCACTCCACATAAATTGCAGTTCTTGGCTATCAACTCTTCTGAATCTACTAAAAACACGTCCAATTGCCTAGAAACGCTTCATATCCCTGAAAAGCTTACTAAAACAATCGAATACACTAAAGAAGAGATTGTTAGCAAGAAATGGCTCCGTAGAGCTCAAAACCATATAAAATTACTAAGTAAAACCGGGGAAAACCATTGTATAAAACACGTATATAAGGAAGGTGCTTCTCCAATCTTTCCATCTGTTTTCTTTACCTCTTGTCATGAGGTAGCCACGGTGGCTCGTTAATTGGTACCAGCCGGTACCGCCTACCTTAGGGGTCCGGCTGAGATAGTTTATGTGGGCGAAAGCCTCGAAGTTTGGCTGCACCCCGTGCAGTTCGCACCCGGCCACATAGCCGAGAACGTTGAACCAGGAATTTGGGGCTAATTATCATAACCTCAACTCATACCCATCCAAGATCCACTGAACAGCCGGATGTAGGGGGAAGCGCAGCCCAGCTCTAATGGCCGCCTCATAGCAGCCAAAACAGGCGCTATCGTAGCTGGTACCAACCGACCAGACGACTGTGTCCTCCGGGTCTGGCACAAAAACTAAAAAGTCAGGCCCCATTATGTGGTTCGCAATAAAGCTGCCCACTTTCTCTTGCATGGCCTTGATCCGGCCTTTCGGAACTGTGTAGTAGTAGGGAATGTTTTGTTCTCTATAGGAGGCGGATGGCTCCGCCCAATTATCTACTTTCTCAACTGCGTGAGAAAGCCTCGCCTCTTGTAGGCGGTTGTTTTTCTCCTCTGTGTATAGAGAAGCATGACCAGAAGAACTAGACTCGGACTCGTCCTCTAAAGAGTCCGAAGAGGACGACTCCACTCCTCTCCCAGAGGGGCCCTCCCTCAGAGCTGTCGGCGGTCAAGCCACCTTGGTTCACTTCAGCATCTGGCGCCTGGTCAGATGTCTCACTAATCGGCACCTGGTAGGAGGAGCCGTCTGAGTTTGTGATCCTAGCAGTTCTTTTTGTTCTGACCATTATGTTCTGCATAGATACAGAGACAGTCGGACTTTGTATAAAGAGTAAAGATTGGTTCGGAAAAGGGCAGGCGGCACTCCTAGTCCTAGATTCAGCCGTCCCTGGTGACCGGCTGATCACTAACCTAGGTCGTGTCGTGTGCTTCCGTGGTGCCATTTCAAAAAGGAAAAAAATAAAGAAAAATTAAAAGAGTCAGATAACCGACGGTTACCTGAACGAGTGAGAAGTTGATGAAGTTCTGAAAATTCTGAGTAAACAGCCGACTTGTCAGAGCAGGCGGTAAGCAGAAAGTGTCAAGAATGTCAGAGCAAGTTCAGGGGTCCGAATGTTCACTTCAAAAGTTCTCAAGTGTGAAAAAGACTGAGGTCAACACACCCTTATATAGGCAAAATGAAAAGGCGAAGGTCACTCCCAAATTCAAAATTTGAGCGGGAAAACTTCTCGGCCTTTCACCAAGTGACACCTGTAGCAGGCCGTCGTCTGTTACGGTGCGACACCTGTCACAGGTAACACGTGACCAGTTACGTGCCACCTGTGAGGGCAAATGATTAGTGGATTTTTATCCATCAATCACCATTTGACAAGTGGACCAACCATATTCCGCCACGTGTCCTTCACGTAGGCCAATTGGAGTCTGCCACGTGTCAATCAGAGATTCGTCCTCCATGGACCAATTGCGACGCGACACGTGTCCACCCACGCCAAATGGGAAAACCGGCCAACAAGGCCCTATCCTTGTGAAAGCCCAGTCAGCCCTAGGTTTAACCTAAACCTAGGTATTGGCACGCATCCCAAGGCATATAAATATGCTCGTTAATCCTCATAAAGGGGGATTACGCACATTAAACATTCTCACTTAGAGAGATTCAATTATATTATTCCGCATTAATTACTCCTTAAACAAGTATTAACTTGACCGTTGGAGGCGGATCTTCAATCATCCGGAATATCCGTTTGTTTTGCAGGTACAGGCGTCCGGTTTCAGTCTCGGAATTGTAACTCTCCCGAAGGACATCAGAAAACCCCGAAACACGTCCCACCTTCCTAACTCTCTTTGTAGTCTTAGGAGAACCTCTGCAAAATTAATTAACAAAAGATTACACATAACTATAATAATAAAAACATACATCCTTGATAAAAGAACATATAGCTAATTAAAAAAGAACATAGAGTATAAGTAAAGAATATTTACCTATTTTCCTCCATTTTTCCCTTTCTTTTTCTCCTTTTTACCCAACAACCTCTTCCACATTTACAATTAAACTAATACATAGTATAGTAAAATAAGCACCATGTTAATACATCAAAAAGCATTTTAAAAAAATATGATCATACCCTTCACTTTTTTCACTTTCTAGCTGTTCTTCCCCCACATCTGCTGTTTCCAAAACAACCTCATCTACTTTCATATCAGGTTCATTAACATGAACATGAGCATGTGGTGGTGTAGGATCTTGAATACTAGCCATCATCACATTCTTCACAACATCGTCAATCATGTTCCCAAACCAATCTGATGCAAAGAAGTCAATGTCCTGACTAAGAATTGATGCTCCCTCGACATGTTTACTTTGTGTGTGTTGTTGTATTACATTCGGCAAATTTACTCTGGCACACTTGAACCACATGGTTGTAAGATTGTACATAGTGGTCTCTTCATTCAACGAGGTTGTATGGAACCTCTCACCTAATTTCAAGATATTCGAGAGGCGTGTTAGCAATCCTTTCGATTACCTCTCGAAGCATTTGATTATACTCCTGACATTTTAATAATGAATGAAAGGTGTATTACTACACATACTATATGATATAATACGATAAACTATTTCTTTAGAATTCACCAAATAGTATACATTTAAATAATTAACATAATAGAAATGCATCCCTATTATATATACAAAGAACATAATTGACTGACAAAAAGAGCATTTGATAAAAATGTAAGAACATTGATTTAAATTCAAAAGAACATATATATTAAGAGTTGAAAATATTACCAAAATACCGTATTGAATATAATTCTATATCAAAGTGAACATTGTTTTGAACTACGATGAACATAATATTTTATTAAGATGAACATAACATATAAAGTTAAGTACATTATATCAAAAAATACATATAAATTGTACCTGCACACTTAGATGGGACTTTTTTCTCTTGTTTTTGTTATTCTCCACCATTTTGATGTTTATTTTGTTGTTGCTCTCCTTGAGGTTGTTCTTTTTGTTGCTGCCCTCCATTTTGATGTTCTTTTTGTTGCTGCTCTCCTGATTCTTCTTGTTGTTGTGCTTGATCTTGCCCAAGTTGTTCGTTTACATTACTTTCCTGTTGCTGCTCTTCCTCCTGTTGTTGTCTTATTTCATCTCTGGTTGGTTCTCATCTAATAGATGTTGTGAAATTGGGATGTCCACATTAATTGGTGGTTGCACTCTATCCAACAAAGTACCAAGACCAAAGCCTAACCTCAGCTCAAGATCTAATTTATACTTGATAAGATCAGTAGTCCAGACCTTAATGAGAGGGAATTCTCTACTTTGCTCCAAAGTCATCTTTTGAAGCCGATCAAAGTAGCACACCTGCAAATCATAGCATAATAGATTTTCAATTTAAAAAATAGATACCAAAACAATTATATGCATAGTAAATATGATAAGATTAATAGATGAACTATTTTAACTAAGTGAAGCATCCATACCCAAAGAAATGGTAATGGTCCACAGAAAAATCTTGCAACACCCCTCTTCCAACAAAGAACCCACTCAATCAGGCTCTCCATGGTGTAACCACACCAGTCATTCAAAAATACAATTTACATTGATCGCAGTGTGCAAAAATCTGCTTAAAAAAAATGTTAAAGAACTCTTCATATTAAGATAATGCATATTAGAAGGTACTTAGTAAACGGTTCTGTACAACAGACCTGAGATAAGGTTGTTGATTTTGAATACTCTTAATGCAACAGTTTACCACCAACACCAAGAAACTCCTCTTCCAGTCATCATAATTTGCTCACAAGTTTGTTCACATTATTGGGAAGTACTCCCCAAGGGTATCTCTTATAACTATTTAACACCTCCTTATGATCTTCATTGCCATCCTTTGCATCCATTATTTCCTTTCCTCTACTTGGTATTCCATATACCATGTGAACACCAGCAGCTTTCACATCAATTGATCTATTTCTATCCAAATTAAATTTCATTCCTACGGCATCAAAATTCAACACAAGAATTCAGGATAATTGTGGGGAAAATCCAAGTGCAAAAATCCACCAAAACCCATATCCTTTATAGCTTGAAGCTAATCAACTTGGTTAGCCAACTGCTGGACCAAGTGCATCAAAGGCATGACAGTTTGCCTCGTTGACAGCTTTATTCTAGGTCCTTCCTCATTAGCAACATCATCACAAGGTACTACATCTCTTTGTGCAATTCCTTTCGTGGCTTTCTTTATTTTAGGCTTCTTCTCTATTGCAACCACCTTTGGAGCCTGAACAATTGATTATTTTGCAGACTGAGATATTGATTTTGCAGCACCTTGTTCAGGTTTTTCCTCAATAACCTTCACCGGGTCTCTGATTGATCAACTTCCTCTTCCTCATGTTTATCTTGAACTTTCCCACCCATCTTTTTGCTGAAAATTAAAAATAAATAAATTCAGCATGCTTATAAGGATAATTTATCTGTAATAATTTGAACTACTAAGTTATAAATGACCTTACCCCTTTTTCCTTGCTATTTGTTTAAATCGGTAAGGCTTCTTTTTAGTCCCATCATCAGCCTCATATTCTTTGTCTCGTTTGGTTTCATCCTCAGTTTCAGGCTCTACTACAGCAGATTGCTTTGGAACTTCAATTTCGTCTTCAGCTCTTCAATATTAAGTTAAAGATGCATAAATAGATTAAATGCTTATAAAATGAACATTGAGTCTATAGAAAATGTACACATAAGTATATTATAAAGAACAAACATACTATAAAAAAAGAACATTGTTTTCTATTATAAAGAACAAACATACTATAAAAAAAGAACATTCAAACTATAAAAAAGAATACACCATATCCAAATCTATTCCAAGGTACAAAGAACATATACTTTTAAATAATGAACATTACACTACAATATAACGAACAAATTAAACAAACATGTTACAATAACAAGGCTCACTATATAAAATAATACTCCTATTATTGTTCACAACTACCAATCCAATAATAAAATAAAATAGCTGTGAGATCTCAAATAAAACCAAAACAGAAGCATTATATTAGAACCTAAATAGCAGAGCACATTTTGCCTAGTTAAATTTGCCTAGTAAATCAGTTAGATTTTATCAGTAGATTCGCGCGCCTAGTTAATCAAGCAGCATATTCTGAATTTGCATACAAGCAAACTGTGAAGTTAACCATCATTAGAAATATTTCTTGTGACAAAAAATAAATAAAATAGTATGATTTTAATGAGTTATCTAAGTTCTGAGTTGTACAAATGACCATATCTATTCTATATCTGATTTTGCACCTTTATTTGTGTCCATTTGATGATTGGAGGCGACAAATATCATACCAATTTTTCGACTTCACTTTTACTTTGATACTTATTCATGTTTTTTCTAAAAGTTCAATTTGGCCCAAAATGGGTGAGAATGACAAGGGATAATATATAAGAATCCATAATTCCTCTGTTTTGGTGATAATCCCATACAACATCAGTTGGGAACTATGCGTCTTAATGGCGATCTGCGACTCTACGTACTAGTCTAACTACAACAGATCAAATGTGACTCATGGTACAGGCATTCTTTGAGATGGGATCGAGTTAGGTTCGTATAATAATGCTTAGATACAGGAACTAGTGATCATATGGCAATTGATAATGCTTTACAACAAACCTGAGATAAGGTTTATCATAGAAAGAACACTATTTTTTATTATAAAGAACAAACATACTTTAAAAAAATAACATTCAAACTATAAAAAAGAATACACACTATCCAAATCTATTCAAAGGTACAAAGAACATATACTTTTAAATTATGAACATTACACTATAATTAAACGAACAAATTAAACTAACATGGTACAATAACAAAGTTCACTACATGAAATAATACTCCTATTATTGTTCACAACTACCAATCCAATAATGAAATAAAATAGCTGTGAGATCTCAAATAAAACCAAAATAAAAGATACAATAAAGCAATTTTGTAATAGTCAAACCATGTACTTACTTGGTAATGGCAATATCTTTATTAATGGCTTTCAAACATCTCTGGGTCCACAATTGGATCTTGAACCTCTCTACTACTTATTCCTTCAGTTTTCCTCTTACTTTTACCCTTTTTCTTTTCAAGGTAAGATATTAATATCTCACCATCTTGTTCTTCGTGTTGCACACTACATCAAAAAAAAAAAAAACAAATAATTCACGGATCCATACAAAAATCACCAAATTTATATAAATTAAAAGAAATTCAGCCCAAATATTACAAAATCACATGGAAAGGACATAAATATTACATCAAGGTCCATTACTGTATCAAAGGCTCATCGAAAGTTTTAGAGTTGGCAAAGTAAAAAGGAATACCCAATATCCCTTTAACCAAAAGATGGGTAAATTATTGGCTATGAACTTTGAAAACATGCCCCATTACACTTTTCTACTCAATTATCACATCTACTCGTCCCCGATACAACAAATTTTATCCCAAAATAAAACAAATAACTCACAATCTATACAGAACATCACCAATTTTGTATAAATCAAAACAAATTCAGCCACACGAAATCAGCAATTAGCACGAATTAAAGGAGAAAAAAAAAATCAATTGCATATCAAATTACTCACGGATTTATACCAAAAAAAAAAAAAAACACCCAAAAAAATAAAAAAACACTGAGCCACACGAAATCAACAATAAAATCGAATTAAAGGAAAAAAAAAAACTACAATTGTATGTTTCTTCAACAGATCTTTAGTATGAGTGTTGAAAATCAAAAAAAAAATCCCGAAAAAAAAATTTAAATATAACAAAAAAAATAAAAAACGAAAAACGTCGAAACCCATCATTACAGTACTTTGAATAAAGAAATTAAACTTACATATCATCTTCTTTCACCATCTTCAAAAATCTTTGAAGCACAATTATGGTTTTTAAGCGTAAAAATCTATTAGGGTTTTAGTTTTTTTCAGAGAGAAAATAGTAGAGAGAGACTTTGATTTTTAGAGAGAGAAAGTGATTTGAAAAGATTTTACTTTTTATTTGTGGTAAATATTTTTTTTACTTTCTGTTTTACTCACATGGTAAAAAAAATTCGTGATCTTTCTAATTGTACACAACGTTCTCCGTTTTTTTTTTTATTAATTGGGCTTCACGAGACTTGGTTTAATGAGCATTTGGATGTCAGTTTTGGGCCGGGTGCACCGTGCTCATGGTGCACCCGGGTGTAGGGATCAAGAATTGGTTTCTAATACTAGTGTTCAAATTATATTAGCTAATTTGTTTGTTTACCTCTTTTAAAATACGTGCTAAAGTAACATGTTCATTTATATTACTCCGTATAAAAAATGGAGGAAGTATCTTTTTTCTTAATTATATAAATAAATAAAAAAATTAGTTACGGTAATTTATGTGAATAAAAAAAATTAGTTACAGTAAATTAAATGGGGTTGAAAGATTTTCCTACAAAAAAAAAAGGTTGAAAGATGAAAAGAGTAGTGAGAGCCCTTTGTAGAAAACACGGAAACATCTGACGGATTGAATACAATGATTTATGCTGAATAATTTAGAGAATGGTAGACTAATTTCAATGTTATTTAATTGATTCACTTAGGTTAAGGTGTTAGTGCATATTAATTAAATAAGCAACTATGTCAAATGACCTTCGTAGAAAGGAATAAAAGTTTTCTTGGTAAAACGAAAAAAACTGAACTCGGTAAAGAGGAGCAAAGCCGCCCGGTCAGGGTGGTGCCCTACCGGGCGCAAGCCTAGGTTTCTGACTACAGACTGTCAAATATATTGATCATGAATGTAAATCTTGTTAGCTTATTAATGCAATTGTTGAATATATTTGGGAATAAAATGATATGATGATGATTAATGCTATGCAATGTAATTAATGAGTGGTTGTAAATGTAATAAAAATATTTGTGAGTGTGTTTATGTTACTTGTTGTCTCATCTATTTGGTTGTTCATTAAAAAAAGCCTACCTTGTAAATATGGTATTATTACATGGTATTAGTGTTACAAAATAAATATCACAATTGTGTAGATCAATTGGTAAGCCATTTGCACTCCCGGTGATAGGTTGCAAGATCAACTAGTTCATGTATTGGGAATTTGGTTGTATGCTTTGGTTTAATGCATTTTAGTACGTACAATTTGACATTTTTGGCAAGCTAAATTAAATTGCACCGCATAAAAACGATTTGGTTTAATGTTTTTCAATTTTATGTATTAACTACTGGAGCTATCTACTTGTATAAGAAATAACTACTACTCAACAAAGTTCGTTGTGGAAGTGAACGTAGCATTTTCCTCATATAAGTTATAACTAAATATATTTTTTAGCCTATATAAAATAATTTTAACTATTGTGTTTTTTATTTAAAAAACATACGAAGTATATCAAGACTAGTCTCCAGAAACAATGTATTGCGGTTTTTGGTCAGGTTTGGTTTCCAATTTTGGAAACTAAACCAAAGTGCAAAATGTGATTTGTTTAGAAACCTAAATCAAACCGTTGTTTCGGGAATTGGGAATCGAATCAAACCTCATTGTGAAATACCCCTAATTACGAAACTCAGAGTTTTTTTTAATGCTTACATAAAATTGTAGGTTGTCAATCAAACTAATCAATTTATTTTTTCTCCATTGATTATTTTTTTTTAGGGAACAAGAATCACGAAAAGACATCAAACTAACTTTTATAAATAGAGTCAAAAGTCAAAATGTGTCAACTAAAATTTTTCAACAACTTGATATTTTTAGATTTATTTTTGATGAACTTTATATATAAATATATTTATTTATTTTACAGTGGAGGTTTCATGCTCCTGCCTACGGCAAACGATGAGTCAGTTTATGCCCAGTTGCAGAGATATGCTGATATTGCTTTGGAAGAGTACAATATGCGGAAGGTTAGTTTTTCTTCTCTCGTTCTATGTCCTTTATTTTCTTGCTTTTATTTCTAATTAAATGATACCTTTGAAATTAATAAATGTGAAAAACATGGCATTAGTTATAACTCTTATAAGCAATTAAGTGATAATTTTTCGTAATCAATTAAAACCGAAAATAAAAGCACTTACATTGTAAAAGTACTTACATTAATACTCCTTGTTTCGGTCATGAAACAATGGACCTTCAGCAGGTCCTTCGGATGAGTGGAGATGAAGCCCAATTTGAGTGATGACCGAATTGAGGATTTCCTGCACAGCTGAACAAACGTAAACTGGTCTCAGGAGTTGTGCCGAGGAAGGCCCCTTCGATGCCGAAGTCAGTACGTGTGTAAGGTAATGAGAGAAAAGCTATGCAAGATAATTTATCGCTTGAGGCAATTTGTGTGAATGAATCTAATTGTACAAAAATATGAGCTTTTATACCTTACTCCAATTGAGTGGACTGGGCTTGAGGAGTTAAATGGGCTGCCATTTAACTGGGCCTTGCTTTACCTGACTTGGCTTGTTGGATTGAGGGTTGAACCTTGCCTTGTGGGTTATACTGATTTTCATATATGGACCGGGCCCAAATAAGTTATTTGGACCCAAACAACTTGCCCCCCAAACCCGATTCGTGAGGATAACGGGTCGGGTTTCAGCTGCTGAGGAATTTGGAGGGAAGTAAATGAAAATCATTTAAATTTTTGAAGAATTTGTACGATTTTAATAACCGTTAATGGTAGTTAATTGACCTTAATGACGGTTTAATTAAAAATAGTGCGGAAGTGGAGAGTGTTTAGTGGATAATTAATTTTGGCGGTTTGCAATTGGCTTGGGAAAGAACTTGAAGAGTTTGCTAATTGAAATTAAGTGAGTGGGGTTTTTTGCTGGATATTTAACTTGCTCTTGCATAATTGTTTCCGGCATTCTCAAATCAAACCACACTCGCAACTTTGCTCTTACTCCCGGCGAACTCACGCAAACACAACTTTCCCTTTTCACTAATTTCTGCATTTTCCGAAGCTTTCCCGCATAATCTGTTGCTCCGAACTACTAGATCGGCGAATTCCGAGTCTGATAGAGGTAATTTTCTCCGAATTCCATTCGGATTTCCCCCTTTTCTAAGCTTTTCCCCTTTTACTCGTCTTTTTCACGTCGCCGCCGATTTTGAAATGGCCGGCAATCCCGGAAAGAGACCAATGGAATCTGAGGCTAGTGTCTCAGAAGAAGAAGCGCCGCAATTAATTTTGAGACGTAATCGTCCTCTAGCAATGATGTCGTTTCTGAGCGGCCGCAATCCCAATGCCCGAATTGAGGTTGGCTCCTCCTCGAGTGGCGAGGGAATGAGAGCCATTCCTTTAAACAGTGCCCCTCCAAATGAAGCAGCCAAAGCCAGTACTTCTGGCCGAAGGGCTACCTCAAGACCCAGGCCTTTAACTCTTAAAGAGAAGGAGTGGACTGATGAGTCTGAGAACTCAGGCTTGCTGATGACCGAGCCATCCTCTTGGTGGCTAGAAAATAATGCTCGGTACCGCTTTGCCGAGCAACTGGAAGTTTACTACGGCATTATGGAAGCCGATGGCTATTGGTGCCGAATGCCCACGGCGCTGGAGAGAATCTATCGGGCCCCTCCTAGTTATATTGGGGTTTACGTTCGGCAGCTGCAGAATGGGCTGCGGTTTCCTGTTCACCCGTTCGTCATCAAAGTATTGAACGGGTACAACATCTCTCTGGCCCAGCTGACCCCTGTTAGCATCAAGAGGGTCATGACCTATCTGTGGGTATGCCTCTTCTATGGGCTGGAGCCGAGTGTCCACTGCTTTCGGTGTACGCATAAATTGGCGCCAAACACCCAATCGAGCAAATGGCATGGTCACGGCTGGTGGCAAATAGAAGATGAGAAGGGCTACCTGACCACCTATCCGAATGACACTTCAGACAAATTTTGGCGGGGCCAATGGATCTGGGTGCGAGCCCCTTCGGACGAGAGTCGCCCTAATTATTTTAGGGGACCTCGCTATACAAGGAAACCTGATTCTTCCGATGTCTAGCATCGGCCCTGACGATTTTACCAAAGCGGATCGTCAGCAGATGGAGCTCTTCGGCCGATCTTCAAATCCTGGCGCTACTGGCCGAATGACCACTGTGCCCACTGTCTGGCTACGGTGCTGTCATTACATCTTCCAAGAGAAGATGTTAGCAGTTGTCGGCCTCAGCCGAAGATACCAAGTTGGTAAGTGATTCGGCTGGGGCCGAAGCTTTTACTTTCTACTTTTCAGTTTCTATAATCCGCAATTTTTCATTTGAACTAATATTTTGCTCTGACAATTTTTTAGAGATCTGCGAAGAGAATTCCGGTATTAACTACGAAGTGCTGGGAATCAGCCAGAAAAGGGAGCTGATCACCAACACTCCCGTTATCACCGCCGTAAAGGACCGACCACTCACGCTGCAGCCGAGAAAGCTAGAAGTGGTCAGCGCCTTCGAATACCTGGCGCAGAAGCCTTGGTACAAGAAGCTTGATCCCTTTTTCCTTCACTCAGCTGAAGAGGAGGTTGATGCTGCTGCCGCCGCTGCTGCACCGAGAGGTGATATCGCACATCCACCACCCCTCCATCCGAACCACAGAGAGAGGAGGGTTTAGACGAGGAAAACACCGAAGAACTATTCGGGCCTTCAGTAAGTCCACGATCCTTCTTCATTTTTTCCATACTTGAATTCGCATGAAATTTCTATAAGTATAGAACTTCAGCATTTTGATCTTTCGTCTTGTGAAGAATTTTTCTGAGTATGTAGCTCCAGCTCTTAAGTATGCATGTTACACGTAGCTTTTCTTAATCTTGCAAGAATGTTTTGCTAAGTATAGATCTTCGGATGCATATTCTTCTGATGTAGTTTGTACTCTTAAACTGCTATGTATGAGGCTTCGGCTGAAAGATCTGCGTGCCTTTACTTTGAGTTTGCTTGTTCTGTTTGTTGTTTTGTTTGTTGTTTTTTTTTGTTTCTTACACGTCCTCCTGCCCCCTCTCTCTTCTCTTCTATAGTCTGAAGAGGAAGAAGTAGAGAAAGAAGAAGCTGCTCCCTCTCCCGAAACCACTGCCGAAGACATGGCTGGTGGAAGAAGAGTTCTTGTCCGTCCAGGACAGTTTAAGGCGTCGGAGCCGCCTGCCAAGAAGCCTCGGCACGAGGAGGTCCGAGTGGAAGAAGAGATGAGGGAAGTCACCTCTCCATCTCGGGAGGTATTTGTAGAGGTCGTCGAGTTGCAGACCTCTCCTCCAACTCCTCCTCGTGACTCTGGGATGTTTTCAGAGAATATTCAGCAAGAGATGGATGCGCTGAATATTTCCGCCGAGGGTGCTGCTGCAGCTCATGTTGAATCGCAAATGGCTGAATCTGAAGAGCCAAAAAATGAAGAAATGCCCTCCATCTCTGCTGCGGATTCGTTTAAGACTTTTCAGTCTTCCGATATGGGCTTCGGCTTAGCACCTTTGGTTCCCGTCCCAGAACATGCCCGGGTCTTCTTTGAATCCAAGCGCGATACTGCTAGCGCTCACTTCGGCCATCTGGCCAACTTATCAGCGTTGGAGAAGGCTAAGGCCTGGATTGCGGGCGTTGTTGCTGCGGCTGCTGAACCTCTTGACAAGGTGCCAAATCCCTTTGTGGAGAACCAGCGGCTACTGATGCAGGTGAGTGTCATCACCAGATTTCCTCTATTCCTTCCTCTCCTCTTCTTTTCTTTTCTTTTTCAGAAAATTTTTCTAAGTGTCGGGCCTCGGCTGATCTCCGATTTTCAGACTGATTGACGTTTTGCAGGTTGTTAATAATCATTTCTTAGCTGTAGAAATGGATGAGGACCTGCAGTCCAAGGCTGACAAGGTTGAGGAAGCTGAAAGCCTGGCTCGGCTAGCTGAGCTGAAACAGCAAAAGGCTGAAGAGGAGACCTCAGCTACCAAGCTGGAGATGCAGAGGATGGACGAGAATTTTCGCTCCTTCTGCCGAGGCCTGGAACAGACTGTCTTCCCCTGGATCGAAGAGGGCCAGTCTCTGATGAAGGAATACGGAGCCGATACTATTGCTGAGTTACAGGCTCGTATCGAAAAGAAAATGAAGGAAGAGGCTGAATCCCGGCAAAAATTGATTGTAGATCATGAAAGCCAGATTGACCTTATCCGCACACAAGCAAAGGATAAGCAATCTGAGCTTGAAGCCAAGGTCCAAGAGCTGAAAGATGCGCTAGAGGCTGAGAAAAAGGCATCCTCTAAGGCCTCGTCTGATCTCGCCGCTGCTGAGGAACTGCTGAAAACCAGGATCTATACTGAGGCCGAGTATGAAGAAGGATATGATAATGGTTGGAAGGTTGCTCGGCGACTGGCCTTCCATCTTGAGCCCAGAATCAATTGGGATCAGGCTGAGGCCTGGTCCATGGATCCAGCAGATGTTTATATGCACGAGGCCAGTCCAGCTGAGGTTGCATTCATGGCTCGGCAAGCCGAGAATGAAGAAAGAGAGAAAGAAGCCGAGAAAGAGTTGAATGCCACCCATCCTGCTTCCTCGTCAGCCGATGCTGAAGCTCTAGCTGCCCCGAATGATGTTCCCAAGAATGCTGAAGCATAGGAATTCGGGCAGTCGTCTACTGAGTCCTGCGGATCAACGTGCACTTAATTTGTAAACGCCGCATCAACTTTTGCTTGTTATCTTTTTGTTTCAGCCTGCCTATGTACAAACTTTATAATTTGTTTTTGTGTACTTTCGGCAGCTGTGTTTTCCGCTATGTGGGCGGCTGCCGACTTTGAATTTCTGTAACTTTTAAACTTGAACATTTTCTCAGCGTTTCTGCTGATGTTCCTTCTCAGCCCTGATTAATTGACTGGCTCTGTCTTCTAACTGATTTGTCTTTTGAATTTCTTCAAATTTTTTCTAAGTACAAAGCTTCGGCTCATAAATCATCTGGCTTATAGGGTTTACCCATTGCATGTTTCTTCTGCTTTGCTCATTTTACTCGGGTGATTTACGGAATTTTTTCCAGGAACTGAGCTTCGGCTTGGAGCTCAGTATGTGAGTACCTCTTGCCCCCCCCAGAACTTTGAAGATAGGGTCTTCGGAGTTCTGAGTTTATTGCTTTCGTTCTTTCGGCGTGGCCGAAGGTTTGTTGCCACACCATAGTTCAAACACTTGTGTTGTATTTCTTATATTCTGCCTGGTTTTAATTCATCCGAGGGAACGACTATCTTGGACACAATGCCGGGGCAATGATCGCCTGAAGTACAAGGCATCATTATGCAATACTTCAGAGGTGTAATCATCACCCGGAATTGACTTGCCGAAGCACAGGGCATAATTATGCAATGCTTCGGGTCTCTTATCAATTCCTATTTTTTGGCTATGTCTTAGATAAGCCTATGACCCCTTCGCCGAGGGCAGCAAATCCGTCCGAGGTACAGTGCATCATTATGCAATACCTCGAGGTTCTATTTGTTGCCCCCATATCGGCAGGTTCTTCGGCTTGCCGAAGTACAATGCATCGCTATGCAATACTTCGGACAGCACCGGGTGTAAACCTTGAATTTTTTTCAAAAACGACGAAGGCAGAAATAATGAAAACATAATGAAATTGTGAATAATTGCGGCTCAAAGGCCTTTCACTGATCTGAAGGAAATGTACTTACACATATATTTCTCCCGCATTGGGGTTTTACACATGAAATTTCCTAAGTACATCTGCATTCCAGTGGTTTTTCAACTCAGTGCCACCTAACTGCCGAAGCCGATAAGTTCCTGGTTGGAGCTCATCATATAATTCATAAGGCCCCTCCCAGTTAGCCGAGAGTTTTCCATGGATGCGGCTTTTCTGGACAGCGGCAACATTCCGAAGAACGAGGTCCCCAACCTTAAGGAGCCTTGTCTGGACTCTTCGGTTGTAGAACTTGCTGATTCTCTGTTTGTATGCTGCCATTCTGTCCCTTGCCGAATCTCGGACCTCGTCTAAGAAATCGAGGGACTCTTTCATGAGATGCTCATTTTCTTCGACTGAGAACTGATTGACTCGAAGACTTTCTGAGCCAATCTCCACTGGTAAAACAGCTTCGGATTCATACACCAATTCAAAAGGTGAATGCCCCGTAGCCTCTTTTTCTGTAGTCCGAAGTGACCATAGAGTTCTGGGAAGTTCCTCTATCCACTTGGACTTTTGATCTTCAACTCTCTTTTTGAGAGCGTTGAGTATCTGCTTATTTGCAGCTTCAGCCTGGCCGTTACTTTGAGGATGACAGACTGCCGAATATTCCAGCTTTATGCCAAAGTGATCTGTGTACCACCTTAACGGCAGATTATCGAATTGCCTCCCATGGTCAAAGACAAACACCTTCGGAATGCCGAAGCGAGTAATAATATTCTGCCAGATAAATTTCCTGACAGTCTGCTCAGTTATGTTTGAGGCTGCTTCGGCTTCTATCCACTTGCTGAAGTAGTCGATTCCGATTATCAGCCACTTTTTCTGATAAGGAGCCTCAGGAAACGGACCTAGAATATCCAACCCCCATTGAGCAAAAGGGAGTGGATTCAAGATCGGCTGAAGGTCTCTCGAAGGCCGATGGATAACTGGTGCGAATTTTTGGCATTTTTCACATTTCTGCACCAAGTCCTTGGCATCCTGGATCATGGTTGGCCAGTAATACCCTACCCGCAATGCTTTATGGGCCAGGGTCCTTCCCCTTATGTGGTTTCCACAGATGCCGAAGTGGATCTCCCGAAGGATGTAATCTGCATCTGTTGGACCCACACATTTCAGCAGCGGGGCTGAAAAGGACTTTTTCAGCAGTTCCCCATTATAGACAATGAACCTTGGGCCGACCCTTTTTATTTTTACGGCTAGGTTCCTGTCCTCGGGGAGCGTTCCTTGAAGCTTATAAGCCAGGATGGAGTCCATCCAGCTCGGTTCAGCTTCGACACATTGGACCTCAATTTCTTGGTCAATGCTTCTGTTTCGGCGTACTTCCACATATACGAATCGGTTCAGCTCAGTAAGAGTTGAACTTGCAAGTTTGGATAGTGCGTCGGCTTGAGCATTCTGACCCCTTGGGATCAGCTCAATTTCAAAAGTTCTCAACTTCGCTATGACTGACTTGATCTTGGCGAGATAAGAGATCATGGAGGGCTCTTTGGCCTCATATTCGCCCCGAATCTGATTAGCGACCAGCTGAGAGTCTGTCTTCAAACAGACATGCTCGGCTTCGAGAGCTATGCATAGTTCTAAGCCAGCGACTACTGCCTCGTATTCTGCTTCGTTGTTAGAAGCCTTGAACGAGAATTTGAGTGCATACTCGAAGTTTTTGCCTTCGGGAGAGGTGATTACTACCCCAGCTCCCGAACCATTTATAGTGGCTGAGCCATCTGTAAACACAGTCCAAGTCCCCTTCTCTTCGTCGAGTGTTTCCTGATAGGAACATTCGGCTAGGAAATCTGCTAAGGCTTGGGCCTTAATGGCTGCCCTCGGCTGATAGCTTATGCTGAACTTAGTGAGCTCGAAGGCCCACTTTGTTAGCCTGCCTGACTTTTCAACCTTGCCGAGGATTTTTTCCAGCGGTTGATCTGTTAAGACCACTATCTGATGTGAGTCAAAATACGGTCTTAACTTCTGAGCTGCCACTACCACTGTATATGCAACCTTTTTCGAGCAGGGGGTAGCGCGTTTCGGCATCAGTCAAAGTATGACTGACGAAGTAGATCGGTTGCTGAACCTTTTCTTCTTCCCTCAGCAGCACCGCACTCACTGTAGCGGGGCTAACTGCCACATATAAGTACAAGACTTCTCCTTCGGCTGGCCTTGCCAGTGTTGGGAGATTAGCCAGCTGCTCTCGGAGCTGTTGGAAGGCTATCTTTTGCTCATCTTCCCACATGAGCTCCTTGGATTTCGGCAATTTCAGCGCTTTGAAGAAGGGCAATCCTTTGTCCGAGGCTTTTGAGATGAACCTGGATAGGGCGGCCATCCTCCCAGTGAGACGCTGAATGTCCCTTTTTGTCTTCGGCTCGAGAAGATCAAGAGCTGCTTGAACTTTGGCGGGATTGGCATCAATCCCCCTCTTTCTGACCATGAAGCCTAGGAATTTCCCTGACCTCACTCCGAAGACACATTTCTTCGGATTCAGCTTCATTTGGTGTTTTCTCAAAGTGGCGAATGTTTCTGCTAGGTCTGAAACATGGTCTTTCGCCTCTTTGCTCTTGACGATGGAATCGTCAACATAGACTTCCATGTTGCGGCCTTTTTGCTCGGCAAACACTTGGTCTACCAGCCTCTGATATGTCGCTCCGGCATTTTTCAGTCCGAAGGGCATCATTTTATAGTTGTACACCCCGACACTTGTAACGAATGCCGTTTTTTCTCTCTCATCGGGGTGCATGAAAATCTGATGGTACCCAGAAAATGCGTCCATGAAACTGAGCAGAGCATGGCCACTTGTCGAGTCGACCAGCTGATCGATTCTCGGCAAGGGAGAGAAGTCCTTTGGACAGGCCCTATTCAGGTCCGTGAAGTCAACGCACATTCTCTAGGTGCCATTAGCTTTCTGAACCATCACCACATTCTCCAGCCACTCTGGATATTGGCAAGGCTCGAAGAACCCTGCATCTAGAAGTTTTTTTTACTTCGGCTACGATGTCTTGGTTCTTCTGAGCAGAGTAATTCCGCTTCTTCTGCTTAATTGGCCGACATGTGGGGTCGACATTAAGCTTGTGAGAGATAAGGTTCGGATCAATTCCCGGCATGTCAGCTTCCGAGAATGCGAACACATCTCGGTTGTCCCGAAGGAGTTGGATTAATTCAACCCGGAGGCTCGGATCGAGCCCTTGTCCGATGCTGACACATTTTTCAGTATGTCCTTCGGTCAACGGTATTGACTCAGTTTGTTCATCTGACTCCATTGCTTTGGATCCAGGCTCTTCTGGTTCAGGTCTACTGTCAATATCAGCAGACTTCCCATTCTTGGGCTGATCTTCGTCCGAATCTTTCGGTCCAGCCGAAGAGCTTGCCTTTCCAGTCCCCAAAGATGTTCTCTTTTTTGGGGACCCCTGAGCCGAAGCACTTAGGCCTTTCGGCCTTTTGGTACCTCGCTCCTTTTCTTTCTATTTTTCTTCCTCATCATCCTTGTCACTGCGGCGACTCTTGGATGGTTTGAGGAAATTGCATTCTCAGGCCTCTCTTTGGCTGCCCAAAAATTTTTCGGAGCGTCCTTCGTCTGAAACGTAGATCATTGCTTGATGATACATCGAGACAACTCCTTGAACATCATGGATGAGGGGTCTCCCCATAATGACGTTGTAAACTGATGGGGCATCGATGACCAAGAATTCGGCCATGATGCTTCGTCTCGCTCGATCTTGGCCTAGGCTGACGGGAAGAAGAATTTTCCCATCTTGATATGAAGAAGAGCCGTTGAACCCAGTGACCGGGTAGGGAACTGGAGTCAAGTGCTTGCTCTCCAACTTCAGCTGGTCGAATGCCTTTCGGAAAAGTATATTCGCCCCGCTGCCACCGTCTACCAGTGTCCGATAGACGTTGTGGTTTGCGATGTTTGTCATGATAACCAGTGGGTCATCATGGGGATACACCACCCCCCTGCAGTCTTCGGATGTGAACATCATGTTCGGCACCGGAGACTGTGGTTTTCGGAACTCAACGTGATGAATCTGATGGGTGAGACCCCTCAGATGGCGCTTCAGTGCATTCCGAGAAATACCTCCGGAAATGGTCAGGATATCATTATTTCCTCCCTCGGGAGGTTTGTCCCTTTTCCGGTGGTAGTCCAGATCCTACCGAGAGTCTCTCTTAGCTTTCTTTTCTTCGCGGCGTTCCGCGACATATTTCTTTAAATACCCTTTCTGGATCAGCTCCTCAATCTGGTCCTTCAGCTGAAGGCAATCTTCGGCGCGGTGTCCACGTGATTCGTGGAAATCGCACCAATGATCTTTCCCTTTCTCCTGATGCCAAGAAGGAGGCGGCTTCGGCTTCTTGAATCTTCCCTCCTCCCTCGTCGCACTAAAGATCCTAGTACGTGGTAAGGTGAGAGGGGTGTAAGATTCAAATTTTCCCAGATAGGGAGCCTTATCCTTCTTCGGCTCTGCGGTCGAGGGAGGTTCTGAGGCTTTTACCTTCCCTTTCCTCGACCCTGGAACTTCGGCTGGCTGCCCTTTTGGCTTTGCAAGCCCTGATTGAGATTGCAGCTTGGCCCTATTCCATTCCTCGGCTCGGATGAATTTATCCGAAGCGTCGAGGGCTTCTTCCAAGGTCTACGGGGGATGCATGACCATGAAATCCAGAAATTTACCAGCTTGTAAGTCGTTCCGTAGTGCGAATACGGCTAGGCTCTGATCCAAACTTGTGATTCTGGACGACTCGTTGCTGAAGCGAGTCAAGTAATCTCGGAGACTTTCGTCCTCCGCCTGCTGCAGTCCCATGAGTTCTGCAGTAGTTTTCTCTCGGCGGTTAGCCGTGGAAAATTTGCTCTTGAACTTGTTGGCAAGATCACTCTAACCCGTTATCGAGCCTTCCTTCAACCCTTTGGTGATCCATGATTGGGCAACACCTTTAAGGGTTGTAGGGAAGTATTTGCACCAGGTAGCTTCGGACCTGGGGTTAAGGTACATATGCCCCTCGTAAGAGGCTATGTGGTCCTTCGGATCCAAAGTACCATCGTACGTAATGTGTGCCGGAATTTTAACCGTCGGCACGTGTTCCTCCAGTATCCACCTTTGGAATGGGGAACTGGTCGGAACCATTACGGCCTTTCCTTTCTGCCGCGACGAAGGAACCCTACTTCTCCCTCTCAAAGAGGTGGATGTAGGGGGTATCCCTTCACGTGACATGGCGGGTTGAGACCCTTCTAGATAGGTGAGGCGGCTATGCACGCCTCCCTCCTTGCCACCCAGGCGCTCGTGAACGCTTCGGCGAAAGGCGTTATGGCTGTCATAAAGACCCTCGGAGTTCCGAGCTTTGGAGTTCTCAAAGTGGCTGGAGCCCCTTCTCTGTTCCTGCCCGGACCCACCTGGGTGTCCAGCCCTTCGGCTTCCTTCCCCTTTAGAGGACAGGGCCTACCTTTCTCCCTCCGCACCGCTTTTTCTCTTCCGATCATGCGATTTAGGAGGAGGAGAAGGTGATTTCTTCGTGGATGGGAAGCGTCCTCCCAATGCGTTCATGAATTCCATGCACACAACCATAACCCTCATCACCTCTTCAATCGAAGGACCCGTTGGTGGGGTTGATTTTGGCTATGAGTGAGAGTGCCTACTCTGCTGAGGACTCTCAGGCCGAGGCTCACTTTCTCTTGGTGAGTCAGCGTTTCGTCGTCTCTGTCGAGGAGGAGATTCCCCATACAGTTCCTCTCTTCTCGGAGAATGTGGAATCCTCAAGACTGAGGCGGATGGCTCAGGTGACGGCGTGGGTGATCGATGGTCCCTCGTCGTAATAAGAGTCATCTTTTTAGCTTTTTTCAAGTTCTTCCCGTTCTTAGTCATTTTTTGCGTTGGCTAAGATTGGTATGAGATTTTGGCTGAATTTTTGTAAGTATCCCCACAGACGGCGACAAATTGTTTCGGTCAGGAAACAATGGACCTTCAGCAGGTCCTTCGGATGAGTGGAGATGAAGCCCAATTCGAGTGATGACCGAATTGAGGATTTCCTGCACAGCTGAACAAACGTAAACTGGCCTCAGGGGTTGTGCTGAGGAAGGCCCCTCCGATGCCGAAGTCAGTACGTGTGTAAGGTAATGAGAGAAAAGCTATGCAAGATAATTTGTTGCTTGAGGCAATTTGTGTGAATGAATCTAATTGTACTAAAATATGAGCTTTTATACCTTGCTCCAATTGAGTGGACTGGGTTTGAGGAGTTAAATGGGCTGCCATTTAACTGGGCCTTGCTTTATCTGACTTGGCTTGTTGGATTGAGGGTTGAACCTTGCCTTGTGGGCTTGTACTGATTTTCATATATGGACCGGGCCCCAATAAGTTATTTGGACCCCAAACACTCCTTACATTGTAATTTGTATCATAATTAAAAGTACTCCTTACATTGTAATTTGTATGAAAAAACTACCATCATATAGATGAAACCTAATAGAAAATTTTGGAATAGTAATCCGAAGAATTAAATATTAAAAGAACAAAAGAATAGAGAGATAATGGAAATGACAGTTGAATAAACTTGTCGTTGATGTGGATGAAAAATAACTTTTGTAGTAGTTACACGAAAATTTTGCTAATCTTTTTCTCAAGTAGTTACATGAAAATTTAAAAGATATTGGAGTAATGTTCGAAACTAAATATTGGTTAATTTTAAATCAAATTTTGCAAAATAAAAGAAATATTGAAATGAGGGAGAAAATGGAGAAACAAGTTTAAGGATTCAACAATGGCATGTAAAGTGAGATGAGGAAGTTGAAAAGCTAAGGGGGATTGAGGATTGTGGGATTCCAACGACATTACGCTAACGGTAGCAGTCTCCCTTGCCATCAATAAGTTACTAGTTTCTAAGTTAACGGATTAGACAAAAAAAAAAAACACTTGTGAGGTTTTGGGGGGATTTGAAGGGAGTTTGGGAGGGGAAAAAACTTTGCTTTAGTGTAGGTAGATAGATTTTTTTCCACGTTTACTTACTAATTTATTGTTCTTTTTTATGTATTAGGGGTTTTATTATGAGTATGTTAGTATGGTTAAAACAATACCGACATGTTCATCGGACAACCCTGACCTATTTGGACAACATATGAATTTTTGGGCTAGGCGCCAAGGCACAGACACTTCTCCAGAGCTCTTTTTTGGCTCGCTAGGTTATGGCATGAGAGGAGTACATGGTTGTAAGCTTGATCCCGATTCTGTTGGTATGTTCAACTATTTATTTTTTCCCTTTGTTTCCATCCTATATTGTATTGTATCCGACAAACATGCTAATTTGTTTTGCTTTTTTCATATGCTTCTTTTGACAGGTGAAAGTCTCGATCATGGAATTGTACATTGTGAGCACGTGAAGTGCTCGGAGTGTTCTTTATGGATTTCGCCAAGGGCTTAAATTGGACATTGAATGTTAAAGGCAACATTAGGATTACTTTATTTTCTTACTACCTTGCTTTTTGTTAGGTATGAAAATAGTTACTTTCCCATCTTTTGTCGTTAGTCGATAATATCGTAATGACATTGAGGCATAAATTTTTTATTTATCTAACACCACCCATACCTAGCGCGAATTTATTCCAGTTGAAAGTGAGGGGTTGATGAGATTCGAACCCGTGACCTCTGTGTCACGTTTGCTCCGATATCATGTTAGAGAATCATCTCAACTAAAAGCTTA